AGAAACAACTGGCAATCTTTACTGACTAACATTGTCTGAATGGCTGAACTGGGCTATAAATGCAAAGAAATTTAAAGTATCAAGACATGACTTTTAAGATAAGTCTACATGCCTTAATCATCTTGGCTGACAAGGTGATGGGAGAACTCTGATTTCACCAATTATAAGTTCAATAGCTGAAATAAGTTTAAAAAGGTCATGTGTAAAATGCATAAAACATTAATCTCATCATTTTCTGTGCAGCTTGTTAAACTCCTAGACACTGTAATAGCAGAGACAAATTGAGCAACTTTCTGACCTTTCTCTGATAAAAACCTACACAGTTATTTAATGAAAACCCAAAAGGGTACCAATTATTTTTCTAAAAAGCTCATCTTTCTCAGACTGCACTGTGAAGTTAGCTTGTGGAAATGCTTCATTTGAGTGTCTTTAGTAAAGCTGCACAGTTGTAATGCATCCACTAATTTATTACCTGTTTTGGCTAGGAGAGGAGGAAGACTTGAGGGTGAATGACTTGCTAGGCTTTTGCATTAATAAGCTTACAGATGCTGACTTCTATGAGGTTACGCATGTAGGAAGTTTCTAACTGGATTTGTTTTTCCTCTGTCTCTCACTCTGTGCAAGCAAGATCACTGGCTCATCACTCATTTGCCCAATTTTCCTTGATGAAAGAATGAATAGTCCATAGGATCTTATTCTACTTAAAAGTTCAGTTTCTGGCTCTTGAAAATAGTAAACAGTAATTACTTGGCCTTAGGACCTCTATGAGTAGATGTCATTTCCATATTCATTACAATCTATTATGTCATTGTAGTTGAAATACAAGAAGTGTCATCTTGAAAACACAGAGGTCTCCAGGCAGCAGCCTAATCACTCTCATCAGATCACAATCATTTGACCAATTCTATGCTGATTATTAAACAAATTAAGAAGCATGCAGGGGTCATGTAGGGAATGGCTCATTTGTTTTCAACAAGTTCTCAAACTTTTAGTTTGTGATTTTACTTCATTTGCCCTTCAGGCTCATTATCTCACTACTGGTTGCCAAACGACCTTCTGCTTTGCCACTTGGATGATCCCATTTGAGGCTGTGATCCTTGTTTTGAGAAGCACTGTCTTAATCTCTGTACATAATACTATTTTTAAGGGATCTTTGATGAGGAAAAAAAAAAAAAAAGGTAAAAGTTTACCTTTTTGGTTTACCAAACCAGACAGAAAACACATTTAGCACTCTAAGTTCCTGAGCCATCAAGCACACTGTAGATGGGCCTCTTGCCTTCAAAAAGTCTTAAAGACTACAATTAATGTCCAGTATGTTTGCATAAGAAATATCACCCACACTTCAGTTTCCTTTTAGTTTCAAGCAGCTTCATAACAATTATTCTACTGCGTCATTTTTCTCTTTTTAGCGTAGGGACTGTGATTTTTCTGGCTGTCAGTGAATAGTTCCTTTATCTTAATCAAATAGCACTTTCAGAGGCAAAAGTATTTGGGGCCACCTTACCCCAGGCAAGCCTTAGCACATATTTGCTGTTCTGACCCGAGACAAATGAGGTTACCTCCCAAATCTTGCAGTATGAATGACATAAACCAATGATTTTAAGATAAATATATTTCCAGCCCTGCATGGATGCAATTGACACTACCCTTTGTGTTCTTTGGTTTCTTAGCAATTCTTAACACCCCTTTTAAGTAAAACTTTGTTTATTTAAGAATAACTTGGCTTCTTTTTATAGCTTTTCCTCCTAATATTCTGAATTAGTGGTTCTGTATTACACCCTACTAGACTAACTACTATTTAAAAAAAAAAATCTTATTCTGATATATAATTATACCACAGCAGTCACTGTTATTTTCAAGGTACAGTACTCAAACAAACCAGCTGAAATTTTACTAACACTGTCGTCAACATATGCCAGTTATATCTTCCATAAAAACTGGATTTTTCTCCCTATTTTAAATTCACCTTGCTTATCATCTATTTCCTTTAACTCATGTGAATAACCTACAAAAGATAACTCCACAAGTTCAGACTCTGGAATTTACTGAATACTCTTTTCTTCTCTGTGTTTTAAATATGTAAATAATTTCTAACATTGTGGAACTGTTTTAGAAAAGAACTGTCTTTAAAAATATTTTTGTAAGTGAAATTTAAATAAAAATATTTTCAGGACACAAACTAGAGCTGTTATGAAGTGCATCCAATCTTTGTATCAGTATCAGTAATTTGGCATTCCATGCATGATGTTTATGAGAGAAATAACTATTTGTGTACAAGCTGTGAACATGCACTCATTTTGAGCAAGTGGAAGGTACAAACCAGGTCATTTATAAAGCATATTAAAGCCTTTTCCTTTCATTTTCCAAATTCACTTCTCAGAGTATAAAATATTAACAGAATATTTGATATCTTTTTCTAAATACTAAATAAAAGTTGCATCTAAGAAATGAAAATGAAGACTTATACTTTTTCTTAGGCCTTCATATCTCCTCCAGTACTGTCAAAACTGCACTTCCAAGTTCCAAAAGCATTTCACTCCCATTTCCAAAAGATAAAAACCAAACATATATCTCAAAAAAATTTATTTAAACAAATTTACTTTTCTAATGCAGAATCTTAAAAAATGCCCCAATATTCTTTTATATCAGCATATCATCACTACCACTTAATCATACAACCCTTCTAAATGTAACATAATTTCACCTCAATATTACCACGGTCATGTGTCTCAATAAATTCTTCTTCCCTTACATTTTATCCCTGTTTTTGAATTAGTAAAAGTGTGTATATCAACTGTGCATGTCTAGTAGTGATGATATAACCTGTCAGCTAGAGGGAAGCTCTATGAAGTAATCTGTCATCACACTTTTCCTAAAATAAACTATAGCTTTCAAGGTCTTCTGGAAAGTGGATACTGACAGAAGCTATTGGGACAACAGTCTGAGTATCCTGCATTAGAGCAACAGGTGCTTTTTGTGCTTCCACTTCTTCCGGACCCTCCGTCATGCCTGTATGAAATTCACATTTCCTTCCTCAAGCATGGAATTCACCTATGGATTCACCTATTAGCTAATGGGTTGTACTAAAAGTAAAATACCTTGGTGACTCTCAAATCATGCTTTGGGATTTAAAAACAAAAAAAAAACCCACCCAAACTGTTTTAAAGATATCTTTTCATGTAACAAATTGTTTTTGTTCACAGTGCCCCTCTCTCACTCTCCCTCAGACCACCAATAAAGCTTGGGTTACGTCACTTCTAGATTCATGTGTCAAGTCCTTCTATAGGTTTCTACCTAGAAATAACTATGTTCTTTGTAGATCTGCAGCCAAAAGAAAACTTGATATGTATATCACATATATGTACCTGGTCTGTATAACCTCTTTGTTAGTCATCTATCAAAACACTGACAAGCAGGAACTCAGGACTATATCCCTGTCTTTTTGAGCAGGATTTGTTTTAAAGCCATTTCAAAGCAAGATAGCTAGTATTTTGCAAAAAGTGTTTTACTCTATATAATACTTTTTCCATTCTAATAAAGGACAATTCCGCTTGCAGTGATCTTACATAATCATTCTAGCTTTTTATTTTCAAAAAATGAAGGCAGCATTCTGCTGCAATTCTCTTACCACTGTCCTGGTTTTCAGCTGGGACAGAGCTAGGTTTCTTTCTAGTAGCTAGAATAGCGCTGTAGCACTATTCTTTCTAGTAGCTAGAATTTTACTTTCAGCCTGGGATTTGTTATGAGAGAAACAGTGATAACACACCAGTGTTTGCATTTTTCTCACTGGAAGTGAAGGACTTCTGTTTTGTTAGTCTACAAGCGGCAAGATCTAAGGAAGGAATATTTAAATTAATATGCTAAATTGGCATTTGGATACGCCAATGGGATATTCCATATCATATCCCGTCATGTCCAGTATATTAGGAAGGGTTTCTTCCTCTTTTGTCTCTCTCTGACTTTTGCTCAGGCTCTGACTTTTCCGGAATTGCGGTTTCAGTTCAGGATTGTGGCTCCTCTGGGATCATTATATGGGAATGGGCCGGGCTTGGTTGGCAGGTGGTGAGCAACTGTACTGTGTATCACTCATTTACATATTTTACTACTATTATTATTATAATTACTATTTTAATATTAGTATTATTTTAAGTTTTCTCTTATGAACTGATAGGTATTGATACTTACAGCTCTTAATAAAGCCATAGAATTTGGAGGGACAATCAAGTCTTTGGTATACCAGAAAAATATATATAACTCTAGCCATGTTTAATTGATTACATACAGACCCAAACACCTAACTCAACTTTAAAAAAAAAATCAGTTGAGATTACATTTATTCTTCTTTATTAACATTTGCATTGAAAGATTCTAACTTACTTCTTCCTTCACTGTTCACTAAGTTAAGAAGCTGCAAAGACTATGTCGGTACTAGAGGTAAGGCAGTCCACTTTTCTGGTTGGCAGAACATGTTTCCCAGGCCAAATGGTTTATTTTAAATAGCTTTTACGAGTACAAAGGATGCTGGAGTGCTAACCATTTTGCCTCCAGCTGAGGCAGTTTGCTGCTATCGTAGACATGGACACTGTTTCAACACCTATATGTTATGCCCTTTCTGTCACCTGAATACCAATCGCTGTTTGATGAAGAATGGAAAAATGCTGCAGAACCACTGATCAAATGTACTTTTAGTATGTTTTATTTTTTTAATGCTGCAAAAAGCAAGTTTCAAAGCAGAAAAGCAAAAACAAAAAGGGCTCTGACATTTTCACATGCTTTGAAAAAAATATTTACCAATTATTCCTCTCTAATCAAAATGCTTACATGCTTTCCTGTAACCACAGGCTCTTCTGAATTTTGAACAAGAACAAGCAAGAATCTTCCAAAAAAAATCTTTTTCATGTCATTTATTTCCCTTTGATTTTGTTTTAAATGAATATTCTATCATTAATCATATAAATCACAAAAGAAGACACTTTGCATGTAGAAAAATAATTACATACCTTATATTGGATAAGAAGACCATAAACCAAAATATTTTTATTTTTAACTTCCCTTGAAAATTTCTTGACCTTAGTTAGTTCTTCCATCCCAATGCTGAAAGAAATATTTTCTGAAACATCCAAGTACACCTGCAAAGGAACAAATAAGAAAAAACAACAAAACAAAAAAACTCCACTTTTTCCATAGCGTGTAATTTTAAACTATCGGTTTTTAGTGTTTCATTTGCATGTGTTAAGCACACATAAAAATACAGGCTAAAACAAAGTTTTTTCTTAGTCAGCTTCTATCACTATTGAATTCTACTAATATACTTAGTGGCACTAAAACTGTTTCTTTTCAAAGCACAGTAAAACCAATATGCCAGAACACATCTGAACACAATGTTCTAACTGAATATTAAAAATATTTAATTAAATCAGAAAAAAAACCCCCAAAACCCAACATTATTTTCTAAACTCTAATCTAAGTTTCACTTAATCTAAGGTGTGGGGTTTTTTTTTTTTTTTTTGGTTGGTTGGTTGGTTGGTTGGGGTTTTTTTTTGGATCAGGATACCAGAGAAATACAGGTGTTTTTCTTAAGCATCTTAAAGGTTTTCAAAATGGAACTGTATTCTTTAAAGATTTATTCTGAATTTACTGTCTTTTCAGTACAGTATAATAATTGTCTAAATTGGATTAATTTTAAGATAATACTTAAAATTCAAAAAGCAGAAACTACTTCAAAGAAGGTAGGGGTAAGACTATCCTGAGCTCTTGGGGAAGGAAAAGCAGGTCTCATATCCAGCAGGAACGCTGCACCAACATGATTGGTCTTACAGGACCTGAACCGATATTTCCACGAAGGTATCAACTAGCTCAACCCTTTCCTAAAGCATACGTGTTCCACAGTTTAATCAGTTTACTTTACAAAGTTTCTATTAACTGTAGAAATCAAAATTAAGGAGAATGATTTTTACATATAAAGTTTCAGTATCTACTCATAGCAGAAATACCTTTCCCCTTAAAAGAAAAATATTTTTCTGGCTGAATGATTCAATCAACATAAAACTTATCTTTAAGTACTACAGAGAGGGAGGAGCATAGAGGTAGCCCCAGAGATCTGTGCTTGGGAAAATTATTTTGAGTTCCCTTTGTACCTTATGTTCAATTTATCCTGACCAATAATGGGTTTTTACTCATTTTCCCTTGCAACAGTTTTTAAAAAGCTGTTTATTGTCTAAGTGTATATTCACCAGAAGCAAAGCTATTGTCTTCTACAACACAGGCAGAGATTAATTTTCAAACACTCACTATTTATTTTGGAGGGGTTTTTAGTTTGTTTTTTTGGTTTGGGTTTGGTTTTTGTTTTGTTGGGTTTTTTTTACGCAAAACAAGGCTAAGGACTGTTGATTTACAGCTATTTACAAGAAAATTTAAAACTTCTTATTTTGAGAGAACTCAACTCAACACCAGTTTACCATTAACCTGTTCCACAGCTTCAAAGAGATTTTTCTCAAACTTTATTTTGTACTGAAATACAAAAATTGAAATAACTGAAACAATGGCAACTACAGAGCTGAAGTATCAGCATTCCTTTCTTTTGAATCCTCAGTAAAAACAACAAAATAAAAACCATATCCATTCATAGCATCTACAAAGGTGAACAGGTATTACTCAGAAAGTAATGTGAGATTAAGAATATGATTCTTCTGGCTATAGCAGAGTTGAATAGGATACTCATTTGATGCAGAGCAATAATTGCAAGAAGTCTACGACTGTGCTTCTTATTTCTCCTGTAATATTAATCTTCCCTTTTCTGCTATGTCCAGATACAATAGTCCAATTGCTGCTTCAGCTTATAGATGTCACAAAAATCTCCAGTCAGGCACCAGGATAAAGGATAGACTTTGAAATCTGTGGCACTTCATAAGTGGGAATATGGATGGAAGTCATCACGTTCAGTGCAAGCTCATCTTTTTACTGAGATAATTCTCCCTAGGCTGGTTAGACAGACAATCTGTCACAATAATAACACCTGTAATTTTTACAGCTAAAGAAGCTGAATATGAGAAAGAAAAATAAAACTGATTCTCTTAATTATCAGATTGTTACAAAAGTTACACATGTCCTGAAATCAAAGAACAGACAAGAACTTTCCAATTACATAAAAGTCTACATTAGACTGTTCCTGATTATGCAGTTAGAATGGAAGTAATTATCTGCTCTCCTCATTTATTCTTTCAATTTTTCACTACCAGGAAGAGTTTTACTTTTGAGAACAGAAAAGAATAATTTTTCCCATACAGCTAGTACCTAAAACCTATGCATTTAAATATCATCATATTGCTTAAAATTCTGAGTCACATTTGCCTGAGAAATATTATTGTGCCCTTTTACATCCAAAGAAGGTGTCTAACAGGGCTTTTCACTAACAATGCATTCAGGTTTTATGATAAATGAAGTATATAGTGAAGATAAAGCTTAGGAGAATCCCACTCATAAGCCTTAGTGAAGAGGACACCAACACTGAATTTAATTAAAGACTGCTGAAGGAAGTTTCCATTCCTTAGCCATACCATCTGTAATGAGTTTTAGGGATCAGCCCTTTAAAGGACTTAAATAGTTCCCAGTGATTAATAAGAGACAATTATTTGCTTAGCTAATTTTTTAGTAATTTAAAACATATTTTCCAGTCCTCCTATTTTTTCCTTTCTAGTATTTCTAAAAGATAGTGTGGTAACTCCAAGAAATTTGAAAGTGTAGTATAAAATGCCTTTTTATAGTTAGAGTACTTCATTTTTTCAAGATACTTTTAAAAAATATATGTGTATCTGTGTTTTAAATGCTAGCAACTGCTCCACCTAGTTATGATACTTTTCTCCCACTGTCTAGTTTTAGGAAATTTCAAGCAGTCATCAGGAACAACTGATGGACCTGGAGTGCAGCAAAAGGATTAAATGTATCATTTTCTCGTGAGGCTATTTTGAAAGGTGTCCACTGACATATTTGTGCACGTTGCAGGCTGCTCAAGCAAGTACATTTTCATTTAAAATGGCACTGGATTCCACAATTAATTTAATGTCTAGTATCTTGGGGGCAAAACCTGAGTTTGTGTAAGCATTATTTGCATTCATACCTATTTCTCAGGAAATATTATGTCTAGAATATTTACATCTACAATTATTAAAACAAAGCTCTCCCATTCCATGTATCACTCTAAAAAAGCACTTAATTCAAAGTCCAGAGTAGAGATTAGCTATGAATCAGGCACAAAATAAGCATGCTTTTAACACTTCAGTATTACCTGTTGATTAACAATTCTAACTTTATCTGCACATCCCAAAATTTAACATGACAGAAATGTTTTTTTATATTCTTGATAAAGGACTAATGAAAACATTCTCAGTCCAGAAAAGAGCATTCTGCACATCCAGTAGCCTTGTAAATGGGCAACAGAATTGAAGGCATGTCATTGTTCTGATTATCAAAGGCAGGAATAATTTATCTTTGAATATTCAGTAGAATTAAAGCTCTACTCTGAAATTCCTCAGAAACAGGATCAAGAAAAAAAGATGGTCTAGAAATAAAATGCTAAACACTGATGTTCATCAAATCACAGTAGCTCACTCCAAGACAACATAAAATAGGCAAGGATATACATTTTTTTCATTTGTAAAAGTAATTAATCTTCATTATATTTAGTTTATTTGTTACATCAGTAATGGAATTTCATTACTGAAATTTTAGATTAAGTGTAAAATTGAGACGTAAATGCTGACATTTTACCTCCAGACCACTAGACTATGCACAGAAACTATTCAGGCCCCATGTAAAATAACTATGTATTCCTTTTCCAAGAGCTTCATATATGGAATTATATTTTTAAAACACAACATATTATCTTGTGTTATTGCTGGAAAGTATAATAAATGTAGTCCAGAGGCACACTCTTTGTGACATATCTACCAACAGTCCTGGCTGACTGGGGAGGTTCCACTTAACTGGAAGGTGGCAAATGTGACACTCATTTACAAGAAGGGCTGGAGGGAGGATCTGGGGAACTACAGGCCTGTCAGTCTGACCTCAGTGCTGGGGAAGATGATGGAGCAATCATCTTGAGTGCTATCACACAGCACACACAGGCCAAATAGGTGATCAGGCCCAATCAACATGGGTTTATGAAAGGCAGGTCCTGCCTGACTAACCTGATCTCCTTCTATGACAAGGTGACCTATGAGGGAAAGGCTGTGGATGTGGTGTACCTGGACATCAGTAAAGCCTTTGACAACATTTCCCACAGCATTCTGCTTGAGAAACTCACTGCCAATGGCCTGGACACGCACACTCACTGCTGGGTTAAAAACTGGCTGGATGGCCCGGCCCAAAGAGTGGTGGTAAATTTTTTAGCCAAAAATAGACTCTGGTATGTGGCAAAAACTTTTGCCATATAACCAGAATAGATTTTTCAGTCACACAACATCTCAATAAGTAAAGTACGTATTAAAGTTATATTGCAAAGTACTTGAAAGTTAATTTTTAATACTTGGACAAGAAAAGCAACAATAATTTTTAAACTTTGAATAAACACACGGCCCAGAGAAAAATAAAGCCACTTAATTCTATTTCAACTGAGCATTCAAGTAGATTTCCTCATTTGCAGCATCCCCAGCAAAGCAGGAGTTAACAGTTCAATATGACTAGTCTTTCACAGAAATATAACTAATAAATTGTCATTTGCAGCTGTTGGTTTATTTCCTGACAGCATGCAGTACATTTGCTGAAGTGCAAATGATGCTCTTTACAGTCCAATTTACAGTTCAAATTTACTATTTTATTCAGAATTAGCAGTCGTTTAAGCCTAGTCTAACATCTAAAAAAAATTAATTAGATGCTTCTTACAGTAAATTACAGGAGTTACCTACCAAAATAAGGACAACTGGATATAAGAGAGGAATATTTGATTTTTCCAACATATCCACTAGTTGGTGAAAATCTTGAATGGCATACTTTTTATCCTAAATGAAAATAAATGTTTAGAATTACTGAAAACATCAAACAATGATTTCATACAAATGGAATTAAAAGATCTGTTATTTACCAAAAGAGATAGATCACTTCTTTTAGTTTGGGGCTTTTTTGTTTAGCTGGTTGTTTTTAATATATTTTAAATACTTTTGTCTGGTAAAGTTATAGCTGTGTTTTTATATATATAGCTATATATTAATAAGATTGAGATTAATAATATTACCCTTAAGAAATATATATATGTATCTATCTAAAACAAACTTAAGAGTCTTGATTGGTCTCAGATATGGTTCATCTAAAACCTTCCTGTTCCCATACAGAGACCTAAATATAGACTGCATGGCATTTATGTGTCCAAAATGGGAAAAACTAATGTAGACCATGGTAGCAATGCAGTTAGATGACCACATGTATGACACACCTCTTCTTGAGACAATTCACTTCAATACAATATCTAAGAAAGGAAACTTTAAACTACTTGTGTAAGAATTCTTGGCCAGTTTAACAACATACTGATGGAAGTGAAAAACCAAGAGAGAAAGAAAGGACCAGTAACTCAAAGGTCTAGTTTGGTGCACATCAGAAACACCAAACACTGGAATGGATACACCAAGAGGACAGAAATAAAAAACAACTTATTATTATTAAAATGTGTAATTATTATTTACCATTACTAATAAGTTTATGTGCAAAACTAAAAGCATGCCTCCTTACTACTTACATTTAAGCAAACAAAATTGTAGCACTGTCCTGAAAAGATGTTTTGTAGATGGCTATCATTTTCACTTGAAGATACTGATATAGCTTCAACCTAATTAGGAAAAAAAAAAAAATATTGCTATGTTACAAATTTGACTTCAGCCTGAAATATCTTCTAGACCTTCCACCATTATAGCACAGTTTATTCACTGAAATGATTTAAAACTGGCAATTATTATTTCCACTATGAGAATTAAAAATTGCTCAAATTTTTAGGTGACTCAGCAGTGAAGCATGGAGTCCAACACCCAGCAGAGTTTTCTGCAAGTTTGTGCTGAAGCATACTGTTAAGGGGAGCCATTCCAGAAACAGCCCTGGAGGTATCAGACACTAGCACTGCTGCCTGGGTAAGGATGTTCAGCTGCTCCTAGAGATAAAAACAGTGGGATCAAGATAATCTAATGATTTTAAACCTCTAATTTTCAGAAGACGTCTATAACATTCAAATACTTACACATATTTTCTTCATGCAACTAAAAATAAAATAAATGAAGAAGCACATATAAAAGACCAGGTGCACAGGTATTCTAGGATTCTGCATATGAGAAGACCCAATTGGTATTTCTCCTGAAAATAATTTCCTCAATGAATACTTTAAAATACTGTCTTAATCACAGACGTACTTGTTTTGCAACCTTTAATTTTAACACCAGCTAAGAAATGATTATATCCCAAGTAAAACAAGAAGTAGATTCTACTACATTATTAGCTTCAGGATTGCCTTCAGTGAAACAGCAAACCAGGTAGCAGAAGGTGAATCT